ACATATTCTTGTACTCTTGTCAACAAACAATGGCACAATACCAATATTCCAATTTTATGGAGAAATCCATTTTATTCTTTTAGCAGCATTAAATATTAATTAATTGTTTATTGAAAGAGGATAAGTATTTCTTAACTGGAGTCAAAATAACTTTTGAACTATTGGAGAAACCACCATTATACAATTATGCTGGATTTTGTACTATAATTTTCAATCGTTATGGCATCCAATGTCTGATAAAACATAATAAATTAGAAAACTTAGTACTAATTATATAGATTGTAATTTTTTAATTATTCATTATAGATTTGATAATTGTTTTCAGAATCTTTATGAAATAGAATGTTATTATGGTGATGAATTTTTTGCTAAATTAACAAATATTTGTAAAACTATTCAATCATTAAAATAATTTTAGCACAGCTAATTAAAGCATAAAAGCGATTAAATATTTAGTTATTGAAGTTATTGAATCAACACATTCACAATCAACAAAGACTTTAGAGTTAACATTTTATGCTAATATCAAAATAAAAAGTTGGAAAAATATTTCACTGCCAAATATTGAATCAGTGAAATTAAATATTTATTATCAACCATTTCTATTCAGACTTGTCCAATTCTATTAATACAAATGGAAAAAATCTTAAAAATCTGGATGTTGATGGTTATGATGATTGTGGGTTTTTGAGAAAGCTATTTCAATCAATTGCACAATCTTGCGAAAATTTAGAAAATTTATTTATACTGTATAAGGATGATTAGACCAGGAATAAAATAGACTATTGTCTTGATCCGAGTGATGTCATTTTTTTGCTCTTTGCAAAGAAGATAACGCAACCCAAACCCAACTTAACTTTGATGTCAACGCGATGCTAAAATAAATGAATCTTTGTTCTCTCATAGCACGGCGTGCACGATTGTGTGATACATAAAAAGCAAAAGCTCGCATTGCGTTCTCAGTTGTAAACTTGTTCGTTATTTATTATTCATTGATTTGGATGATATATCTTATATATTTTTACATGTTAATATTTTGACTCATCACCTTGCTTCTAATATTGTTTATCACATTGGACTGACTAGTGTATTAATTGAAAAAAACATATTGAAGTTGCAAGCAAATGTTTATTTTTGATTACTTTGGCCAAGAGGATATAATTGGAACAAATATTTGAGATTGTAACTGTAATATAAATAACATAAATACAATGCATATATTTTTTAATTCTTAATGTATATACAAATTAATTTGTTTGTTTCATTTTGCTTATAAAAATGATTTTATGTTGAAAGCTGGATTAGTCCAAAATCACATGGTGATCAAAGGTCAGAGGATTAGTTTGCTTACTTTTCCCAATTATCTGATGCAAGGTGCTAACTTTTGTGTCAGTTGCATTCACTTCATTGACAATCACTTCGTTGACAATGTGAGATAGTAAATCTTGGACCTATCAATTGCCCAGTTAATATTGACTATTTAGAACGAACCTACTACGGAGGTCATGTGATGCACTAAATATTACATCACGATCAACGACCATCTTTCTATATATTATTGTAATGGTTGCACCGCATATCATGTAATGTTATACTGAAGATATTTATCTATATACTTATAGTGCAAGTCACTTAGTCCAATCAAAAATCCAATAAAAATTTTACAGTCACATGATTTTTGAAGATTGTCAAGTGCCAAATAAATATATTAAAATTTTTCTTTTACATATATACATATGTAAATGATGATTAGAACAACAATAATGATTATAATGATGTTATTAAATATAAGTTAAAATAAAAGAGAAATTTATATAAACTATTGAATGATTGATAAAACCTTCGTTAGT